GAGAAAGAACCGGTTGGTTTTCAGCACTGTACCATAACGCTCCTCTGCACAGGCCATCTCCTCCTCCAGGAGCTTCTTCTGCTGGGCTTCTATGGCCATGACCTCTGACCTGTAGGTGTGGAGAAGCTGCCTGGGGGAGCAGAGAAAGTCGAATGTGGAATGAGAGGTACCCAGATAATAAGTACTAGTTGACCACATTTTAATAGGCTTTAAGATCCGTAAGAATCAAGTGTCATAAAAGCCTAGATTTAAAAACTTAATCTAGAAAGGCTTTTTAAACTATACTAATGGTGCTATGAATAAATCTATTGTTTAATCAGAGGTAATATATGCGTCAGTTAAAAGTTAAACAAAAGCTAAGTATGAAATGCTTCTTTATATTGTGTTCAATTATCCAAGATCAGGGATCTAGGAATTCAATGTGTTCAGTTATTCAAAAAAGTAAATTTGCTCAATATTTGTTCTTATTTCTTCTGAGCTCTGTGACCAGAATAAACTCTTTTCTATTTAGCAACATTCTTGGGTTTCCCTATTTGAGATCTAGCAACATTCTTCAAATTCTGAAATAAAATGCTTATGGTCCTTACTAAAATCTGAACTAGATTTTATTACATGGTCTTCTTTTTATCTCACACTACATGGTAAGAAATCCATTATAAAGATGAATAACTTTACTCTTATTAGGTCATTATTTTCTCTTTTACTGACTTACATTAAGACTTTCTGAACAGGTGACCTCCATCACAGTTTCATTTGGAAGAGTCAACACCCAAGGCTTTGATTAACAACCTTAAAACTCGCAAAAGCTAATGTTGGTTTGGCTGTACCTAATGAGGAATGTAGAGTGGTTCACAGGACTATCCAATAGACATGGACGTGATCAAAAGAGACAGGAGGTTTATCCCAGGTCTCAACCCCTACCTCAACCTGCCTCAGGTTCCCATCTCTCTGGCATGATTTTCTATCAAACATACCTGTGCAGTCATATTCCTTGGGCTTCTTTGTACTTTACCCTTTTTCAAGCAGGCCCATGTGAGAGATTCATTCAAATTGTATTCGAGTTCACTACAAAGATTATTCTGAGATCTCACCTACTGGCAGCCATGTTGTCATTACCCAGCTTTCCTTGGGCCCTCAGTCACATATCCTCCCCCTCAGCTCAACCCCATGTGGGGGAGATGAAGCTTGCTGCCAGAAAAAAATTACGGGGAGGAAAGACCAAACAGCCTGGAGAGTGGTCCTCCGCCTCATGAATCCAACTTTCCTGCCCTGTCTGTTCAGGGGTCAGCTGCTGTAGGCATCTGCCCCCGCCATTTCCCAGGAGGCACGGATGGAAACTCCAATACCGTTGTGTCTTTCCTGCTGCTCTAGCAGCAGGCAACACACTGGGAAGGGTGCCCTCTTGAACTTCTCCACGTCTTGGGACCATGCAGCAGCTAAATTGCCCAGGCTCTGTATAGTGGAGACTTGGGTGTCAACCAATCCTTCTTCACTCTTACTGGAGACTTGGGAACGAGGAGGGCTCGAACACGTGCAAGCACTGCAGCTCTGAACCCCTCCCAGAAATGCAGAGGTCTGGAGCCAGTCCTCTTTACCAAGGGGTATTTTCCAGGACCAGCACTGACTGCTGTTGTCCACCTCCTGTTGTTTGGTCTCATAGCCTCATTGGCAATGAGTGCAGCAGTCACTTATACCAGCTCCTCCAAGAGGACCTCCATATTCTGGTTGGATACTATGGAAGCCCGTTTCCGCCAGGGAGTAAAAAAAAATGTATCTGGTATCTCAGAATTGCGACTTAGTATCTTAGAATTCCGACTTAGTAACTCAGAATTCCGACTTTTTATCTCACATTTGCGACTTCGAAATAGCCCTGGCTTCGAGCCAATGCAGTGAGACACAAAGTAGGGTGGGAGCGGTGAGGGCACAAGCCCTAGAACCCGAATCCGTTACAATAACAAAAGGACAGACAATGAAATATGGGCCATTTCGAAGTCGAAAATGTGAGATACAAAGTCGCAAATGGGAGATAAAAAGTCGCAATTGCGAGATATAAAGTCGGAATTCTGAGATACTAAGTCGCAATTCTGAGATACTGTACCATAGCGCATTTTTTGTTCTCCCTAGTGGAAACGGGCTTCCATAGGATACGGCACCTACAGTATGCTCGATGTGTCTTTTTCAGGATAATACTACTTTCAGCCACTAAGGGGCACTATCTGACCACTAGACTTCCACAGGCGGAAAGCTCCTAGGTTCTGGTAGGACCTTTGCATATTAACACCCATTATTAAAACATAGATGATGTCAAAATGTCCGGAAGGTTCCTGGCCTTAGATAAAGGTGCAATGATTACAAAGCAAAACAAGACAAAGGGCTTCTGTAAACTCTCTGTCAACTTTCCAACCCTTTACTTGAAGTCTCTGATCTCTCTAGCCTGCGCGGTCTCTCTCTCAAATGGCTCCGATTCTTCCTCTGACTGCAGTGGTACAGTACAGTATATCCTTACATATAAACACGTGCTTACTGGGTCTCAGGACATTCCCGATGGCACTCTACCTGATTTCAGCCCCATGCTTCTGTTCGATCTCCTGTACTCTGCTCTCTGCCTCCTCTGTGAGCTGTTCCACAGAGAGAAACAAGACGTCAGCCCTACAGGATGCATTTCTTCTTCAAATGCGCCGTACAGCTTAGAAGAGGGAACCTTTCCTCTTGTGTTTCAGAATGGCAAAACATGAACTGGCCTTGTTACCTGTGTTGCACTGCAGGACTGAAGAGGCTTGTCCATTCTGGTGCAACATATTTATTTAGATTTCTCTAAATTTGTAAAGATTGGCTTGGTTAAGGGCAGTACGGTGGCACAGAGGTTAATATTGCTGCCACACCACTGTCTGTATGGAGTTTGCATGTTCTCATGGGTTCTGCTTGGTGCTCCAGTTTCCTCCCACAGGCTAAAGACATGCTGATAGGTTAATTGGCTTCTGGTAAAATCGGCCATAGGTGTGAGCGTTCGTAGGCATGCTTGTGCTGGTGTGTGCCCTGTGATGGACGGGTTGGTGTCCCGTCCCGGATGTATCCTGCCTTGCGCCCGTTGCTTAGAAGGATAGGCTCAGGCTACCCCACAACCCCCAGCTGGATGAAATGGTTAGGGTATGGTGTCAAACTATCCACCTCAACTGACAATGATAAAAGAAAGGTATGAAAAACAAGTCCACAGTGGTAAAACAGTTACACAGAGAGACCAGAGGCTGGTTAGGTTTAGTAATGAACCATGATTTTCTTGGTTTTAAATAAGCAATAGAAGAGTTTAGTATGATCAGGACTTGGCCTTTGGGTTTGTATCTGAGAGTTTTGACTTCTGAGAATGGTTTCTGCATTATATCAGTGCCACCACAGTGTAAAAATGCCTGAAAACAATAACTTCTTGATTTCCTAGAAATATTTCTATTACTGATAAAAAGTATCCTGACAATAAAAAATGCTGTTTAATCAGGAATGTTTTATGCTTTAATAAATTGGGTCAACTGTAACATTTTTGACCTACAGTACAGTAGGCAGTGTACAGCATATAATATCCACAATATTGTTCACTACAGCTGTAAAAAGATTAGATATTGTATTTTTTCATAGTAGTAAAGATCTCTCCAAGCTCTTCTTTCATAATTATCACTTTCACGAAACACCACACATTTCTAAACCAGTTTAAGGAGGCATCCCACGTGCTTGGTAATGATTTTAAAATGGGTGAGTTGTTGCTGCAGTCTGTCATGAGCTTTCAAACAGAAGGCAATTATCCTCACTGAGAAACACTCGTACTTAATGCAGATAATACAGATGCCGCTCCTGCTTATGGTGTTTCAATAGACAATCCAACACGCTGATAGACAACTCATTTCCATTTTGAGTGGAATTAAGCAGTGGAATAAGCAATTCAGCAGTGGACTTGTTGGGCCTTACAAAACAGTATGCAGTTGCTAGGTAACCAGGCACACAGGGCCTCTTGAGGGCCTTATGTGTTTGTGAAAAGAGTTGTTAGAGAGGGGAGAACAGCTCACCTTCCTGCGTGTCTCCTGATGGGACCTCTTCTCATCCTCTAACAGTGCAGTCAGCTTGCCAATCTGCTCCTTTAGGTCTTCCGTAATGGTCTTACTAAGAGAGAAAACTTCAGGAACTTAGGACTTGAGCACTGCCTTTTCCTGTGGCCCAATAATGATCCTTTATCTTTACCACATAAATCAGTTCAGAATAATTTCTAATTCCAAATGAAGGCCTGGCCAGCAGCCTTCAGCTTATGTATGCACACCAATGACAGCACACAGGGGAGTAGTTTAATAATTTTAATAGGGTTAACTCCTGTCTGGTTTGTATATTATCAGTGTTTACTTTTCTGCCTCCCTCAACGCGTTAAGTAATTAAGTTTTAGTAAGGCTTTTAATATTGGAATTTTTTGGCTCTATTCACCTGGATTGTGAAGGAAGTCCAAACAATTCCTCGCCCAGGGTGACAGCAAAATGGTTTTTGCCTCTTGTCAGGGTATATCCAGGTGATAGCTCGACAGATTCCACATCATCCTACAGAGAATGAGAAAACGTGGGTAGACTCTTCAAAAACTACAGTATATAAAGTAGGTTATTGGGTTACATTAGAAACCTCATGTTCCTGTGAGCTACATTCAGCATCCCACCAGCTTCAATAATTCTGTGGTGATGCGTTTGGTGTCTTTCCACATCATCCATATTTCAAATATAACACTTCAATAGGAAAGTAAACAATTTTCCCAACGCATTCATAAATGTTCACAACAAACCATTGAGAAAAATTTCCAGTCACAAAAAAGATCACATTTTGAGCCTTTAAATATAATAATTTATTTCCAAATAATCACATTTTGGTGGCAGAGAAAGTACTGTAGAGGTAGGTACAGTATAGGACCTATAACGTGCTGTTGCTAGAGACACCCACCTTCTTCTTTTGAGCTTGCTTGGACCAGCACCAAGCTTCTCTCTTCCTTCTGAATGACGAGGTCAGTCTCACCGAAGCCGGTCTCCCTCTGCAGAGTTTCGTACAGCAGGTCATGAAATTTTATTTTTAATTAACGTTCAGAGGAGTTTTCCTTCACTATTGCTTCAACATTATGACATACTGTATCACATAATTCTCTATGACATCATTCCCTGAAAGGCTACCCCCTGGTTATCTCCTGACTCTGTATTAGGGTCCTATCTTCTTCATTCTAGAGCATGGTGGTTGATCCTTAGTAAATCTAGTCCAGCCATAGTGTCTTATGCCTGGGTTTTCCATAAACACATTTTCCTATTGGCTGCTGTTGTTTGTTTTGTCCTTTGTCCAAGGGGCCTTCATCCTCCTTGTTATGTGCCCATCCCTTGTAGCTTCTTCTCTCTTCCAAAAATGACAACAGTTTTCATTATTTAATCTCTTTCGTTATTTGAACACTTTCACCTGACCGTACAGCTGCGGGTTTTCACTTTAGCTTACCCCGGCCTAGATGTGGGTGGCTCAACTTTAGGCCTGGGACTTGCTGAGGCACATCTCTGGTGCCTGATGAGTCCTCCTGGGGCAGCTCTTCCTGTGCGTCCTGGTACTGGAGAGGTTCTCCCTAAACCGGCTGTTTGTTCAGTCGTCCTTTTTGAGTTGATGACACTCAAACATGTGCATTGAGTCGCAATGTTGTGGGTATACATGGGTAGATTCTGCATGGAGGAAAAAAAGTATTTAAAATGATTTTATAAACTTGATTTTATAAAAAAATATTTTGAAATGAATAGAGAACGTTCAAAACATAATATAGCACATTTTACAACGACATTCGTTAGTGTTCATTCATTAATGACAGTAACCGTTCATTAATGTCAAAAATATGCACAAACAATAGTACTGCATAAATATAATGTCTTCTCAAGGTCTGATTTTTTTAAATATTGTTAATGTGTACAGTACATATTACCTCAGAGAAGCTGTCCAAGAATCATGAACATACTGCATATACTATATAAATAAAAACTGCTTAGACTGTTTCTTTCAAACAAAAATATTCTATGAAGCATTCAGGTGTTGTTTATAATCGGGACTTAGTGTCCCTGGAGTCTGTAAGTGGGTTTTAAGTGACTTTTCATTTTGTTTATGTCTTGAAATTTAATTGAAATTAAAAAAAAAAACTGTTTCATAACCTTATCTTCTTGAGGTCTAATTAAGAAAGTGATAAGTTCCTTTAAGGCTTCAGCTGAGACCAACTGCAGCACAAATTGCATAATACAGGGTCTTTGAGGCCACAAATGGAAAACTTTCACTTTAAAGGTGAAACATGGCTTAAAACATAAAAATGTTCTGATTGTATTAGAGCATTGCATCCAAAACACACTCCTATTACTGCAGCTTCCTGAATTACAAAATGCCTACTGTCTGTACAAGCAGACGTTCTTGTTCCAACACATTCTGATGGATCACACCTACAGTATTGCACTGTTGATGGGCTGTGATCACCATATTATATTGTATTATTTGTAAAAACATCAATCCATTCTCTGAATCATTGCCTCCTTGCACTAACTAAATTAAACTCACCTAAAAGTCACAAACACAGACACCGTCTTCTTTCACTTTGATCTCACATTAACCTGCTTCTTTCTGTTGGTAGCTGGTAGCAACCTTAATTTCCATATGTGACAACCTGCTTGGATTGAAAAAAAATGGCAAAGAAAGAAGAAAAATGAAAGAATACATAACGTTTAGGCAAAAGTATGTGGAAAATCTAGAAAGAGTTTTCTTCTACGTATTGATACTCACAGAAATGTTTAGTTGGAATGAAAATAGCCAATTTTAGCTATTTTTTTTCAAGTTCTAAAAACCTAGAATGTTCCAGTCCTCCATGCAGATTTTCCTCAGCTGCTTTGTGGAAGGTTTAATTTCCTAGAGACCTCACTCAAATCTTGTCCCTT